GGAGAAATGGACACTAGCAGTATAGGGGGCATTCCTAAGACATGGAGCGGCTAACCCGAAGAAATAAAATTGCTCACGTTTACTCCAACATCTCTCCCTGGTTAAGGCGCTTTTAGCTTCCCTTATGACAAAAAAGGGCTCATGTCATTTGAGGGGAGGGGGAGGTCATTCTAGTGAGTGAGCATATCAGCATTGTTATCAGCATAGCATTCTAGTGAGGGAGAGCATATCAGCAATGTTTGTTCTCCCTGACGTTTCTCCCCTCTTTTGGACTTACGATAGTCCTAGTGTCACCTACGAGCGGTCTTTGAATGCATGTTTAGAGCGCTCCGTCCCCCCCCCCCCCCAAAGACATGAGCGTTCAAAAATATATTTTTGACACAGCTTTGAACGCGCTGCCGCCGCATTGTTTCGCATCTTGCGATAGTGCCAAGAAAAGCGTAACAGAAGGAACCATACTAGCAGAAAGTAGACCGCTCTTGTGGTTAGTGTTAAATACGAGAATGATCTCAACAGAATCACTATCATCCCCACACCATGATATGAGAATGATTTATCGGAAAGGGGTAAGCAGTGTGCCACATTTTTTAATTCACACTGGGCAAGTTTGGTAGGTCGCCTACCAACAGCCTGTACTGACTACTGACCGCAGGCACAATGCAGCCCAAAGGGCGAAATTCACGCAGTGAAGTGTTCTACATCAGCAAGAGTTTCAGAAAGGTATGACCATGACCGTCAGTTAATGTACCTGGTCATGCAGCTATACCTTTTCAGGCTGTCACCCTTCCACCAGCACGGGCATGGCGAGTGAAGGACACCGACGTTGCAGCGCGGGGCTACGTGCTGTGCATCACAAAATCAAAGGTGTAGTTGAAAGAGAATGGTCTCCCTCGTACTTGACAATCAAGCGAATTCCAGGGACTGCTCTTCGACAAGATGACCAACCTTGAGCCAAGGCTGATTACCCTCACTCGTAGCGGGCTGCTCATCATTTACAACAAGGAGGATAAGGGTAAGATTAAAGATTGATTGAGAAAATGCAAGTTTAGCTCTTCATTGTTCAAGGATATGTCGTGGACGTCAAGGATGCCAAAGTGATGACGACTAAGACTGATCACTTCCGTACCAAACGACAGTCATATGTAAGTTGATTGGTCGTAGCTCATATAACTTTGAGAGTGCGAGCACGCTGTGCCATACATGACCGAATACTAAAAAAAACGCGACTACACCCTGATAAGCTATGAAAGCAACTGAAGAAATCATTACGACCGACTCCACGTAGAGGTCTAGAAGCAATTGCTCGGAACTCTAGAATCAGTATCATGATGCATACAGTTCATCTGAAGCTGCATTCAAACCCAAACGTGAGGCCGCGTTCATAGTTAGCGACTCGGGAGATTAGGATAGTAGGCGACAGGATTAATAACAAATGTATTAAAATGTATTTTAGGAAA